ATGTGGTGTTAACCAACGTTTCAGAGGAACGTATCGCCTCCATCTTCAGGGTAGAAGAAAAAATATATAAGAAATCTGCAAGCAAAGAGACCGTGAGAACCGGTAAAAGCAGACTTCTCCGAAACGTCGGTTAACACCACATATACACGGTGCCAAATCCCAGAAGACTGCTTTCTTCAAGTTTAAAGCCAGTTTAAAAGAGTTTTTATTTGTGAACTCCTTTTATACAGTGGAGGAATATTTTAATACATGACAATGGCAACATTATGCAAAGGGTAATTTATATATTTAACTTCTTATTAGATTTATATTACAAACATATTGACAACTGCTTGATTTATAAGCAAGATGAGTTTATACTACTGGACGATTTCTATATATGTTGGTTGTGTAACCGTGTAAGGATTTTATGGAAAGAATGATGTGAAACTGACCAAGCAACTTCATTTCATCTGTAATAATACTTCTTATCTGTTTTGTTGTCAATATTATTATCCATATTACTTATCACCATTATTTTATATTGCAAACTATTTGACAACTGCTTGATTTATAAGCAAGATGAGTTCATACTACTTGACGATTTCTATATCTGTTGGTTGTTTAAACCATGTAAGGAATTTATGAAATGTGAATAAATGAATGAATGAATGAATGAATGAAACTTCCAAACCACAAGATGCGACAATATCAAGCAAAACCTTAAAACTAACCTTTTGAAGATGTTTTTCCAATGTCTGGGCGATTATGGGGGCATGCATGATATTTTCATCTGCAACCATCGACAACATGCTGATCATCGCCTTGCTGTTCTTGGCGAGATCTGATAACGACGACGCATATTCTTCAGATACCACTTTTGCTTGATGTATTCATTCACACCACACTTAACTGCAACACAATAAAATCGCCTTAGTTTAGTAATTGTTCACAATTTCATTGGGAAATCATTCACAGTAATAACGGAACTAAAAAACAGTTTAACACCTGCAACTCATGATTCCATATTAAACAGGACTTCGGAATACCTTGAAAATTACCTATTAAAACTTCAGCATTAACATACTGATATGTTTCCTGCAACAAATGTTTTAGTATCGGCAAAAATAACTTACCACTCTGTCTATAACTCTTCCTCCTAAAACCACAACCTGCTGCGAATACCTCAAAATCCTCAAAATGGCTACCTACGTACCCATCCATCAGAGTTGGAGTTGACTTACGTGTATATACGCGGAACAGTAAACATGCACAAGCAGTTAATGACCAGTGGCTGGCAGCTGGGATAGGGGAAAGGGAAACACGGTATCTACCTATCTACTGCTATCTACAATTATAGCCATATCTCAGATGTATTGCATGTACCGGGGTTGTCTACAAATTTGTTGGCTGTAAACTCAATTGTAAATAAGGGAACAATACGCAAAGTTCTTGACAAAGCATATCCCGAAAATGGGATTTATTGTTTAAATACCAAAGTTAACATGACCCAATCTGCAAATATAGAAACTAAAGATAAGATTAATACCAAAAAGAAAAATCACAAATGTGAAAAATCTTGTATTAATACTGTAAAGAATGAACAAGTTGATGAACAACTGTTGTGGCATAGGCGTTTGGGGCATTTAAATAGGGTTAGCATGTGGTTGCTAAAAAGAGGTTTAGCTAGTGGCATTGATTTTCAAGAACAAGATCAGTCAAAGAAATGTGTTCCATATCTGGAAGGCAAAATGACAAAGAAGCGTTTCCTACAATCGAAGAACAAACAGTCAAAAAGAATACTTGATCTATTGCATTTAGATCTGGTTGGGCCATTTGAAGTACCCTCTTATGGGAATGCTAAATATTTTTTACTATTGTGGATGATCATAGTGGAAAAATCTTCATTCGCTTCTTCAAACAAAAAGGTGACACATATGAAGCCTTTAAAGAATTTATGAAAATGATTGAGACAGAAACTGGATTGACAATAAAAGCTGTTAGTTCCAATAATGGTGGTGAATTTTGCGGCAAATTATTCAATGACATGTTAAAACAAAAGGGAATCAAGAGGGAATTCTCTGTGCCATATAACCCACAACAAAATGGAACTGCCGAAAGAGCTAATCGCAGCATTTTGGAAAAAACAAGATGTATGTTGTATGATTCCGGCTGCAACAAAAGATACTGGGCTGAAGCAGCTCAAACAGCCGTATATCTTTTAAACAGATCACCTCACAAGAAACTAAAGAATCAATTGCCTGAAGAAATATGGACAGGAGAAAAGATTGATCTCTCCCATATAAAAATTTTCTGATGTCCAGCGTATGCTCATGTACCATCACAGAAACGCCAAAAACTGGATGCTGTGAGCAAGAAATACATTTTTATGGGATATAGTGAGGAAAGTAAAGCTTATCGGTTATCAGATCCCCATAATCCGTCTCAAATAAGTGTGGCAAGAGATGTAGAATTTCTGGAAGAAGAAATAAAAAACAAGAAAGAAAGTGAGAAAGGATTTTAGCTTAAAGACAGTCTTCCATTGTCGTTAAGTTTCTACCTCGACTCACGAAATGAAGCAATGATTCCGCATGAACAAAATCCTGAAGAAGAACAAGTATAAGATGAAGGAAATGAAGTTCCATTAGAGCCAGACGGTTTAGAACTATTACAAGGAAATTTGGAACAAAGAACATATCCACTTCAAAACAGGAAACAGAAATAATTTCCAGATTTTGTTACCTACTCAGCCATGCATAAAGATGAGGAGTCAGAACCAGTCACATATGAAGAGGCACTGTCAAGCTCCGATAAATCTAAATTGAGAGAAGCTATTAAACAGGAGCTAGACGCTTTCCAAACAAATGAAGCATGGACAATAGTGGACAGAGTAGTGAAATCAAAGTGGGTCTTCAAAATTAAACGAGATGCTGAAGGAAATGTCGCATGTCACAGAGCACGTTTGGTGGCGAAAGGTTGTAGCCAAACAGAAGGAATAGACTATTTTGAAACTTTTGCTCCCATGGTGAAACATTCTTCAATGCGATTGTTATTTGCTTTAGCTGCAAAGCATGATTGGAACATTGACTACCTTGATGTCTGTACCGCATTATTAAACGGAGATCTTGAAGAAGTTATATATATGGAGCTTCCTGAAGGATATGACATTAAGGGGGAGTCTAATAAAGTTTGCAAATTAAGAAAATCAGTTTACGGACTGAAACAAGCCGCTAGGTCGTGGAATAAGAAAGCAACAGAGGTTCTAAAAGGCCTAGGGTACAGGCAGACTTGTTCCGAACCATGTATTTATACCAAACAAAAAAGGTAATTCTATAATTAATATAGTATTGTACGTTGACAACTTCTTCATATTTCACAATGACAATGGTGAAGTTGAGAATTTAAAAAGAAAATTGCAACAATGTTTTAAAGT